CTGTCTGTGCTCCTGCACTCTGAAGATGCCGGTCACAGCCCGGAAGACCCACACCAGCCATCGTATGCCGGCTGTGAAAGCCTTCGACAATACATAATCCTGAGTCCTTTTTCTCTTCTCACCAAATTATATTCAACTGTACAGATAAAATATTCTCTGCAAGTCTGTATGTTCCAGAAACGAGTCACAGTAAATAGTACAGGAGAATAAACCAATGTGTTGTCATGGCTTGAGTTCAGAGTAACTAAAGAATGGTAGTTCCAATAGAAGCTTGCCTGCTTTTTAAGATCCAGTACGGAGGTTCTTTTGTGGTTGAGGTATGGCTGTTTAGATAACTGTGAAGAACCTTAATTGGGACAGGACTGAGTTTACTGATACCACTGGGTGCCTTCTCTGACCATCCTCATGTTTCCTGGCCAAGATATGCCTTGATAACCAATTTTTATGCTATGTCCTCATCCACAGGCCATTGCTGAGACAGCTTAAAATTGTCTTTAGATGTAATTTGAAAGTAGTGTTTTCCTATTCTTCTGACACAGTTTTGGCTGTGGACATGATCTAGTACATTTCACTGACGATGCAGTTAAGACTTGCCAGGTCTTACATTGGCTACTTATGTACACTGGGTTAATGCTCTTTTGAATGAGTGCTAGACTACACCTGGACTTAAAAAAGAGGACTTGTGCACTCTTGAGAAAATGCTGGGACAATGCTGACCATCTTAAACCAGAAAAGAGAGATGTATTTTGCCAATTGTGCATTACTGGTTCTGTCACTGAAGAGTACACTACAATTTTTCATTGCTTCAGCCAACAAAGGGTTCTGCTGGCTTTTATAGGTTTTACTACAATTGTGGAGAGTGGGCTTGCCATTTTGCACACTTTTATGCAGTTTTACATACTCTACAGGCTACTTCTGGATGCTGAAGCACACTGCCTTTCCATTGTGACAGTGTTCAGGGACAGTGTTGGCTCTTTATTGATTGCTTCCTCCCATTTTAACCCATGCCTTTCTTCTATGCTGATTACTGGACTATTTTTGGACATTGGTTTAATATATTTTCAGAAGAGTATTATACCCATATTCAGGTACACAGCCAGCTGGGTGACATTAGGCCAGTCACTCTCTGTCAGCCCTAGGAAGCAGGCAATGGCAAACCACTTCCAAAATCTTGCCAAGAAAACTACAGGGACTTGTCCAGACAGTCACCAGGAGTCAACACTGACTTGAAGGCTACATTAAAAAAAACTCTTACCCTACTCCCCCCCCCCCCCCCCC